CCTGAGCTGCACATGTGCCTGTTTCCGAGCGGCCCTGTGTGTTTACTCGCGGCTGCCAGCCTGGCTTATTTCATCGCTTCAGGGCTTCTTGCTGGATCGCAGTCGAGGGCGCCGGCCGAGGCGCGTGCCTTTTATCTGCGTGGCAACGGGAAAACAAATCCCAGCTTGGGACTGCGGCCAAAAGCACCAGACCGGGACTGGCAGCAATTACAGAGCAGTTTTCAGCAGTGAGCTCGGAAACCTGACTGTGGGGCCGCTGCAGACTGGATGAATGGGCGCTGGCTCTGGGGTGGCCTTTTCCTAAAATCAATCATCTTCCCGTCTTTGGTTTTCTCACTGAACTGCATTCCACCGGCTGCATTGGCTCCCTTTGCAAGCAGGGGGGAGTGCATGCTGTCCAGACTATGGCGCTGTGTGTGCTCAGGTTCTCCACTCCTACAGGCTCATTAGTTTTGCTTACAGACCAGCCCAAGTCTGTGACGGGGTCATGCTGATCTCTGTCCTGCAGCCTGGCCCTTCATTTCAGAGGCAGAGGATCACACAATAACAAGGCATCTTTTGTCAACGCCCAGCGTGTCTGGAGTTCTGTGCAGTGATTAAACAAAGGCATTTCCACGCTATAGCAGGAAAGGTGCATTGTGGTTTAGGGTGAGCTTTTTCCCCCCCAAAGTGAAATAGAAAGGTGCAGAGTTACAGAACTACCGGCTCAGTTCAGAAATAACAGTAGATGGGTAGCAACTCAAATGAGCAGACTTAATCAATTTATACAGCGGTCACCTCTGCCCAAAATGCATCTACAGATATACAGGATTTTAGCACTTGCATATCAGTTTAATCATATGAAATTTGTTTTCAGTATCATTGCAGTTTCAAATTTAATGAAGCAAAATTGATCATACCTGCTACTGTATGACCTATTCTTTATTCTCTGCAGAAGGTTGAGTACTTTGCTCAGTGACTGTATGGAATAATAAATGTGTGATACAGCATGAAAACTCGGACGCCTTTACCAAGACCCTCCTCTCTTCTCTTGTGCAGGTGAGCAACGAGGCAGCGATCAGGAGAGTGACCGAACAATCCCCCCCCCCCCCCACTCTACACCAGCCCTTCCCTGCTCCTGAGTGCAGCTTCATCACATCACAGCTCCAACCTGCCTGGTCGGTGATGGCAGAACTACCCCAGCAAGTCACCCCGACGCCCCCCCTGCCTTTTCTCTACACCTCCAGTCCAGGTCCCTTCCAGGGTGACACTCCTCAGAACGTTTGCTGGGCCTCACTGTCTGGGATGCACCACCCTTCGATCAGGAATCTATCAGGGACTCTGTGCAACTTCTCCCACCCTCACTATTCCTCCCTTTCTCTCCCCACACGTGTGCTTTTATCACAGAGGTCTGGCCTGCTCCTGCTGGTCACTCAGGATTGAGACCCACAACCTCTTCTTTTTTTTACTGGACTTTGGGATTTTTCATGTTTCTTTCTGCTTTTTCTTTGTCGTTGTGGCTATTGTTAGATCGCCGTAGACAGTGGGTCCTTTGTATATCTTAGAGAATTTAGCTGAAAGAGACGAGTAAAGAAAGAAATGGCAGTCCAACGCTTTTGTCCTATCTGGGAGCAGGAAGTGGAGCCGACGGACGCCTGTGGCATATTATCCATACTGGGGCCATGTTTATTTTCAAGAATGTGTTGTCTTTTGTGCTTGATCTACAGTACCAGCCCTTAAATGGAGCCAGATATTTTAAATAATTTCTCAAATGAATTGTGTGGCCGATCAAAAGAGGCGACAACTCTGCAACCTGCCTCCAAATATGAAAATCCCGTTCAACCGCCAATACTTTTCATTTTGTTCCTACAGCATTACAAATCTGCCATGCATTCCTCACACTTTGCACCACGCGAACTGCGGATGAGTAGTCCGCCAGGTGTTTTTTTGCTGTTAATGTGTATTTTTTCATGGGGAGGAGGTACAGGGGGATATGATGCTAGGTTTTTAGCTCTCTTTCTTGTGTGTACGTGTGCAGAATTCTAGACAACGAGGCTTTTAATATATAGTTGGGTTTTTATTACACAAACCAGTGACAAATCCAGTGATAATGCACCACTGCAGTAGCTTTAGGTCTTTTATACTGTGAATTGAGGAGGCAGCTTTTCTGTCTCGCAATCCCATTGTGCATTTCTATTTTTTCAGCCAAGGGGACAGTATATATATATTCAGAGGGGAAAAACAGGAACAAGTTGAGAAAAGAGCAACACTTCAATTGATGGAGACCCTTAAAAATTCCCTGTTATCTTTCCAATGTTCCTGTTGGTGTGCTATTAGTGTTACGGCTGAAGAATATGGTTATAACATAGAGTTTGATCCTGGCAGTTTTTTTATTCGGTTTTAGAGCGGTGAGACCTTCAGGGCCAGTGCGTGGTGTCCAGTGTCCAGTGCCGCACATTCTCTTGTCGGTCCTGAGCATGAGAAGCCGATCTGTCATCCACCCAGGCCCGGCACTGCGGAGCCTGGATCTGCGTGTGGGTGTGGAAAAGGTGCCCGTCTGCCCTTTGTCATCCTGTCCGGGCAGCACAGGGGTCGCTTCCTGTGAGCCAAGACAGAATGCAAACAGCTGGCAGGTCCAGATAGAAAAAGTGCAAAACATCCATCAGGAAAAAGCCTGCAAAAAAAACAACAAACAAGCAAAAATCGGCCAAAATTCTAGTTCTCTGATTGTGTTTTATATACTGTCCCTTGAAGTAACTCATTCTCAAAGGAAGGGAACAATCTATTTTTAAATGTTTGATCTATTTTAGACTTTATGCTTTTATAGTATTCTGTACAAAAAAAAAGTGTTTGTTCTTTTTACATGTTGTCTTTTTAACTGTGACATTTCCTTTAAATGGGCAGCATCAGAAGGAGCAGTTCTTGAAGAGCATAAAGTTTTGCCAGTGCTGCTCTCTCTGCATCTACTGATGTTCCTTTGTACAAAGAGAAGCTGACTGAATGCTGAATAAACTGCAGAGACACCTGTTTCCACACACATTTGCTGCAGAATGTGCCGTCTTGTCTTTTTATATTTTATTAATAGAGCTGGCTCATTCAGAACTACTGTTTTGTCAGTTGTTCTTCAAGTTTAAGATAAATCAGCTTAAGACAGGAAGGGCATGCTTGTCCTTTTAAAGAACAGTTTACATTTTCTAAAAGTAACCCTGTATCGGTGTCATCATTTAACAGTTGTGCTGAAAGGAGAGTTTATTTTTATGATTATAGTTACAATCTAAACGCATATATATATTTTTACGATTAATTAACTGATGTAACTCTATTACAGGGATTATTCATTTAACAAGGTTGGATTTGTAAATGCATAGGCCAATTTAAATTTACACCAGCAAAGTGCTAGGGTTCTGTATAAATTGTAGTTTTAATACAAAAGACTTCTGTGTTTCTCATCTCGACACGAGAGTTTTTATATAAGCATTTTGATATGCATTTTCTTAACTGACAGAACCGAATAAAAAATTTGCATCCAACATGAAAGAGAACCCTCAAACCATTTCTGCGGACCCTCAAAATGGTCTTATTTACAGAGGCAAGATACTGTAGCTGGCTTTTTGTCTTGTAATAAACATTGTGAGATTTTTCTAAAAGTTCACAAAGCTTTCTGTAAAAAGAGCATATATATAAATACACACTGTACAGATCTGTAGTGTCATATTTTCAACACCACACCACAACCCTTATTTTTCCTTTTGTCGGGGCCCTCATGGGTTCCCTTCCTGAAGAAAATGCAATTTTTTACATCGCAGAAATAAATTGACATTTTCAATTTCTTTACAATGACGCATGCCTCTAGTCTGTCATATCTACTGCATAATTAAATTGATTTAGAGCAGTAAACCATGACACCACAAATAATAAACAGTGAAGGTTTTTTCCACAAGTATGCGAAGGCATTTGGGGGAAAACAAATTGAGCACGTGTTTGACTGCAGTGTCCCGTGACGTTTCCCTGAAAGTGAAAGATGCACACGGACTTGGAGGCCCTCCATTCACTCTGCGGGGAAGGGCAGCTGTGACTGACCTGCAGGCTGTGTGTCATCTACTGACCGCTGACTGGCAAGTCACGCCATGCGATCCCTTCCCAGTCCAGTATTTGTCTCTCGTCTTTGGAAATTGCCATTGAATCTAAAGTCTCCGCAGTCACTAAAACAGTGCGGTCTTTATGGAAGCTGGAGTGCTTCCACAAATGATGTGAATCTGTTTTGACAGGCATAACGCATTTCTGACTGATGTGCATGTGATGGGCAGCTGCCTTTAGCCGACATGACTGTTGCATTTCTCAGCCTTCCAGCTGTATTTTGCTGTTTCCCTTTCTGGGATCCTGTAACAGGAGCTGTGCTGTCTGCATTGACCCCTTACACCTTGCCATGTGCTTTGTCTAGACTCCGCCCCCATCAGCGTTCTGCTGGCGTCTCGTTGGCTGCCCGTGTAGGTGGCGTATCATTCGGAAACAGCTGGCTGTGCTGCTTCCAAAAAGGCCACGCAGGGGCATTTGAGAAAAGTCGGTGAGAAGCTACAGCATCAGCAGCACGGCACATCCGAGTGACCGAGATGTGAAAAGGACTCGAAGATTAGTGGCTGATGTCAGTGCTATTTCTTTTTCTCTTCAAAATCAGCCCAGAAATCGCCAGTGGCCAGTCAGGATATTGAAATACCTGCAGCTTAGGAAAGAATACGTGTCAAGGGCGTGTATTGACTTAACATTTTGGCACATTTCCTTGTGTCAGAATTTATATGAAAAGAAGACTTGGGAAATGAACTTTATTCTGGGGGAGTCTGCACATACATGTTGACCTTCATAATTTGAATGTTATCACTTTGGGGAAAAAAATAACATTACAAAACGGGAGAAAACTGGCCAGAGTTGAAGATGTCAAGACTGCAGAGAATGAGTTGGGTCCTTTCCTTTTCATTTATTCTATATACTTTTCAGTCAGTTCATGAGAGAAGGAGAAAAAGTCTAGTCTTTTCAAATGAAGCATGATGGCTGTTCAAACCGTGGGGATAGGCTGGTCCCAGTGACTGGCCTTGGCTCAGTTTGTCATGTTCTGAGCTACAGGTGATGTCAGCAGTTGATAAGCTGCGTTTTGAGGAAAAACCATCAGGTTGGGTCTTTGTAGGGTATATTTTACTTTCCTTTCATTGTTTGTATCTTTTTGTAAGTGTGCTAATTTATTTTTGTACGTTTTATAATGAACACTTGGTCTGTGTTGTGTAGTTGTCACTGAACAAACTGGTGTTCATCGGTACTCTGAGCGTGTTGTATCTTCCGTCTTGAAATCAGTCTTTCTGGTTGGCAACACAGGAACCCGCTCTCGGAGAAGGATCGTTTATTTTCTCAAGCGTTTGGAATAATGAGACTGTAGAGAATAGACGTGCACTTTTCCTGGTCATTTTTACTTTTTTGCTTTGGGAAAGAGACGACAAATATGCAGGATAAAAAGGATGCCAGAAACAATTTCTTTGTGTCTTTCTGGCAGACATCTGAAGAGCAGCTAACAAGAACAGGGGAAAATTCAGGGCGAGGAGTTTGTAAAGTCCCCTGGACTTGTCTCTTGGTATGCTGCAATTATAGTGACACACAGACATAGCTGTGTTGAGAATTCGATTCATGTATCTGTTTTCCTTCTCTGTTTTATTCTGAAAAAATGCTGGAAAATAAAAATGAAGTGTCTCAACTGTCAACCCTTCTTGATAGTCTGTGTTCTAAACCATTTGCCAGTTTCTATTTGTACCCTTCAGTGTGGAGCCATGAATTAGTTTTCCCAGCTCACTGCCCGAGCCTAATGAAAACCTTGGGGGTCACTGATGCGCATCAAGCTGAGGCTGAGCTGCTCTGCTGCACCCCAACAAACTCCCTGGCTTGGCTAGTTGGACGTCACCACTTGGGGAACCCCAGTCACAGTGATGTGGTCAGTGATGTGACCCGAGTTTAAATATGAACGTCTAGATCATGAGAGCTCAATCGGTACTATACTTGTACAGTATACATACAGCATCAGAACCTTTTTGATCTCAGGGTTGTAAGTGACTGCACACAGTGGTCAAATTTATTAACCCCCAACAAGACCCAACTCAATTTCTGAAACGCTTCACAGTGGTCAGCGTTGGTGCCTCATAGCGCTGGTGCCCTGGGTTCAATTCCTGCGGCGTCACCTGTGTGAAATTCGTATGTTCTCCCTGTGTTTGTGGGAGTTTCTTTCAGGTGCTCTGGTTTCCTCCCACATTCCAAAGGCATGCTGGTAGGTTAATTGGCTTTTGGGAAAATTGGCCTGGTGTGTGTGTGTGTCTACGTCCAGGGGGTATCCTGCCTTGTGCCTGTTGCTTGCTGGGCTAGCTCCAGCTCCCCCTTGACCCTTGAATTGGATAAAGTGGTGTGAAGATGGATGAAACTTACCTGTCTTTTCTCCCCATGGTAACTTCTTTTTAGCTGTGTTATAAACCAGCCTGCCCTCCTTAAACCTGCTCAACTCAGCAAGGAGTTGCTGGCAGTGACAGTGTTTGGGACAGTATCACGCTGCCCATGTGGAGATCTTCTCTTTTTTTAGATTTCTTGGTGGTTTAAAGTATGGGCACCTGTACTCACTGCTGCCTGCTGTTGGTGTGATTCTCTACTCTTCATCAAGGACACTCTGAGTGGCAGACAGGTGAGGTTGCCCACCTGTTAACGTACCCGTTCTCACCAGAGGTGTAAACATTTGTGTGTTAGTGGTCTCCTCTGGCCTTAGTGGCTGCAGTTTAGAAAAATGCCGTTGGGTTTCTCGAATACTTTGTCAAAAGCAGCCTTCGCAAATTTTGGAATTATTTAATATGCAGTGTTCCCATGTGGCCACCAGAGAGAGGTAGTGTGCCTGATTTCAGTTCACCGACTTCTCATTGTCAAAATGGAAGAAGAGGCTTTAGGGAGAATCACAGCTGCTGGTAGCTGCAACAGAGGCAGTAAATTGTCACATGGTGAATTATTTTAAAGACCACACAGAGGCCCGTTCTGGCCATCTTAACTGCCCACCTCTGGTTCTTGGGTAGAAATAAGTTTTTCATTATATAGGCCTCTAGTTCAGTTGAATGGAACTCGTGCTCCAGTTTCCTAAAGCATCAAATCTCCTTGTGCCTGTGCGGTTTAGTGACTATCCCAGTGATTTAAGAGAGAGCTTGTTCAGAATAGCTATCAGTGAAACCTCTCTGGCCCTTATCTGTTTTATTATTAATTTATCAAACACTTCCATACAGCCAGGCAATTTACTATGAAGTATCTCAGGGGTGGAATAGAGCCTCGCGCTGGATTGGACTGTACAACCCTCCAGCTTCCCACACATTTTTCTCCAGCCTCTTAACAGCCACAGACTTCAGTGATACAGTTTGTCCCTTTCCCCACTTATCACTGCTCCAGGCCACCTGCTAAGAAGACTCTGCGATGGAGAGGGACAGTGGCCTACATGTTGTGTCTGCGGTGCCTAGTGATGAGAGGGGCTAGAAAAGCATCTGCAGAGCTGTGTCCACTTCACAGCACCAGCTCGCTCCCTCAGTGTTGCTCTCTGCTCAGGTGCACAGGGACAGTGTATCTATTACCGATGTCTTTGTGCACCTCTTAATCTCTTGTGTTACATCAACGGAATGGTTAGGAACGCAATGTGACAGGGAGCTGATGGAGAGAAACCTTTCAGGTAAGCTGTTTATCCAGTTCCTGATAAATCCTAGTGCTGAGTGAACTAGACTAGTAACCCTAGTAACAGCTTAGTGCGGTTTTGTTTTTCATATAGAGGAATCTATGTGAGGAACAAGCCCTGTTCTCTTATATTGCAAACTGCTCCCATCGGCATCACCACCGGCAAAACTAATTCCTTTCATGACTGGAGCTTCACTGCCGTCTCTGCTTGCAGTCAGTGCAAAAACCGCACAGCGAACGGGAATTCGTCCGATATCTCCTTTTGCAGTGGACTTGGGCAGCATGTGGCTCTTGCCCTTTCGACAGATTTCGCATTCTGCCATCCTTCCCTTCCTTAAATGGAAGTGCATTAAAAACCAAGAACAGGAGGCACTTCTTCACCCAGAGGGTTGTGAGAGTGTGGAACAAGCTAAGCCATGTGGTTGAAGCCCATACACTGGCTACTTCTTTCAAGAAATGGATCAATTCACTACTAACTGCCAGACAGTCTAGAGTAGGGGTTCCCAACCTTTTTTGTCAGCTGAACCCCTTCAACCTAAATTATTTGCCTCACGTACCCCCTTGAGATTTTAACTAAATCAAACCTTTCAATAAATGTAGATAAATGCTACAGCACATGCTCTTCACATGCTTCTTTTCACTTTGTAAAATAATCATGTTACTACTGTTGTTTTTCTTATTCTTATTATGACATTGTTATTTATGAACGGGGCTATTTAATTTGGCATTGATGTTTCCATCACAATCTCACGAACCCCCTGCAGTACCGTCACGAACCCCTAGGGGATCGCGAACCCCCGGTCTTGAGAAGCCTAATGGCCTCCTCTAATTCAGAACTGTTCTTGTGTTCTTACTCCCACACCCTTCTGCCAGCCTGCTTCTGCTCAGGATGAGCCCACTGCGTGGTGTCATCACAGACCCCCTGTCTCGGACAGAGCAAGGCCATGCTACAGCACATCTGTAGCTCGTCAGTCCCTAAACACCTAGGCGAACATGGCAGCTAGTGGACTGCTGATGAAGGCCTGCTTCCAAAAGAGCCTTCTGAATACTGGCCCTCGCATGTTTTTAATGACCTAAAGGTGCTGCTTTTAACCGAACCAGCTCAACACTTTTCCCTGAAGCTGGAAATGACTTTTTTTTCCCCCCCAAGAGATGTTTTGGACTAAACCCCTCGGAGACTGGAATGGGAAATTCCAGGATCAGGGGATGAGAGAACAAGCGGAGGTGTTGGAGAGTGAGCTGTACCTTGCCGGTGTTGCTCCAGCTGTTCCAGACTCGTGCCTGTGACATCATTCCTAGTGTTCTCCTCCTGCCAAAGGTTTCATGTTATAAAGGCATTATCGTTCAGCACAGCAGGGCGTGTTCTCAGGGAACCCATCCATCGCATGTCACTCTCAGCTGCCGGAGAAAAGGCCTTTTGCCAAAATCTGATGCGTTGGAAGTCTGGGCAGCTGGCTTTTCACCAGCAGTCGTGAGTGATGTCAGACAAACCACAGCTTTAAAAACATACCCCTGCTGGGTAAACTCAAACAGACACATAAATAAGTCGAAGCTTGGCTGTATACCATGCGGTGTTTTGAACAGTAGTTTGGAAACGGAAAAGAACCATGTTATATAATGCTGCATTTTTCTTCAGCTCTAAGGCTGTTAGGGGCTGTAAAGAAGGCTGTCCACTTCTCCACTGTGGTTTAGGTATCGACAGGGAGCCGCTGTATTGCGCGTTTGCTGCCTCACAAGTCACATCTCCGCCTCTTCAGCGGCACAGCAGGCATTAATCCTGCAGTCCCCTCCTGGGATTCGGCGGCTGGGGTTGGGGCGAGGAGACAGGGCAGTTCTGACGCCTGTCCCCTTGCAGGGAGCAGTGCGAGTGAATTAGGAACACAGGCCCTCTGGATTAAGGGAGGGCTCTTCATGCTCTTGCATAATTCCAGGCCCCTCGTGAAGACGGGCAGAGACGCCGGGCTGGGTAGAGATCAGATGGAGAGGGACATGGGGGTGTCCAGCAATCGGTCAGCACAGGGGGACAAACCCCCATCTTTCGGGGGGCAGAGGTCTTTTCACTTCCTTCACCTCAACCCAGAGTTTCTCACTCGTAAATCATCATGTGTCATACCTGCTCACATTCGTGATCATATACGGAATAGAATCCCAGCGCTTATCATCAGCTGTAGTGAGGTTTTGGGCTGGCAAAAAGACCGTTTCTAACTAGTATTAGTAGTGTCATTGCCCACTATTGAACACATCTAGTCTTGCCCTTGCTGGCACAGTCTAGGCTAGCTAGGGTTACTCGTGTAAAGCCAGGAGAATGAACAGTGTATTAAAACTGGACATTTTCAAACTCACCTTCTCCAACCCAAAATGGAATTCTGTGCAGTGGGCTGGACCCCAGCCATGGTGAGGGGCAGTGGTGTTGTCTTTGAATATGTTCCAGATGTGTTTTTGGAGCACTTCCAAATATGGGATCTTTTATTTCTCCAGTGTTATTTTAACTCAAAATCAGTGAAGTTGGAAAATATACAAGGACAGAACTTTTTGTTTTGGTTTATTCACGTAATGAGCTTATAATGCTGGCACAAGTATCCTTGAGTACTGATAAAACAGAACCACTAAGGCCTAGTGTTAATCTGTACTCCAGTGCTTTTTTAAAATTCCCTTTCCTTCATTATGCTAGTACGAAGGTGTCAGACTTCACAGATGTAGTATATTTTTATTCCTTTTTTTGTCTTTTTTGTTTTTATTTTTTTTTAGCTTACTTGCTCTATTTTTGCCACATCATATAAATTCTAATCAAAATTTGTTCATAAAAGCATCCTCTGTTTACTGTTACTTTCCTGTGGCAGAGCTTGGTAATCCTGGGTTGACTGGGCAAATAACTGGGCAATAGGAGTCGAGATTTATGAATCTACTTTCATATTAAGACAGTTGATTAAAAATCCTTAATGAGCTAGAGGTTTCCCTGGCTGCAATGTGGCTCCATGCTGGTGTGGGGTCCTGGGTTTGGTTTCAGCCTTGTATGCCT